TCCTTTTAAATGGAGCGATTCAAGGCAAAATCACCACAAAAAACTGCTCAAAGTTGGTGCCCTGCCCCACTCCAGCTGGGAAAATTTGGGTTGTTTTGAAGGAAATGGCTGAGGATTTCAGGGATTGAGGAAAAAAGAGAGGGAGATGGTTCATGGAGAAGGTTCAACAATAAAAACACTGAAAAGATACCCAAAAGATGAATTAAATTCATAAACCCCAGAGCACGGCGAGACAGGAGCTGTTTGATTCAGACCAGCAGATCCTGCAGAGAGTTTTAGGCCTCAGGTTTGAGATCCAGAGCTGCCAGTGATGGGATTTTCCCAACCCCAGGAATTAAACTCCGTGCCTCAGTTTCCCAGCTGATAAATGAAGATGACAAGGGCGGTGCAAGGGTGGAACGTTTGGATGTCACCAATAAAATTAATAAGGGAAAACATGAAAAAATTAAAAACTGACCAAATAATGAACTGAAAATGCCATTAATTGGAGTGTCTTCATTAACAGCATCCTTCCAGGATGCCCACAGGTGCTCAGGAAAGGACAGTGATTCCAGGCTCACTCCATCCCGTTTTCCCCTCTCTGCATCTCAGCAGCAGCTCAGGCGATCAGGTGTCCCAGCAGAGGTGACAGGGACCGAGCTCTGACAGCTCTGGATTGGGAATTTACCACCCAATTTATGATTTTTGTTGTGGCAGTGCCTGCAGGCCCCGGGGATGGAGGGGCCACAGTGACAAAGGAGGAATTGTCCCCGGATTAAACCCACACAGGGAGAGGAAAGGGAAGCAAACCCAGCTGAGATCCCCGAAATGTCCCATCTGAGCTGCTCCTGGATCCCAAAAAGCAGCAATCTTTGCAAACAGCAGCTCAAACTCTGAATACTTCCCAAATTATTTCTGCCCCCAGCACCCTGGGGGTGGCAGGGACAGCAGAAAATGGGAACAAAAGCCACAACCAAAGGCAGAATTGCTGGTGCTGGCAGAGGGCTCCAAGTCGCTGGAGCATCCTCCTGCTTCCCGAGCTGCATTCCTGCAGGTCCTGCCTCCACCTGGAGCTGTGCTCTGCACCCAGAGCTCCAAGGAGAGCCCAGCTGCTGCTCAGGTGCGGGAAGGAATGCCCAGATTTCCAGCAGGGATCAGGGAGAGATGTGGGGAATGCAGCTGGGAAAATCCAGCTGTAGCTGTGGCGGCTCCGAGCTCATCCTAAAAAATCATGGAAAGGCAGGAGGAAAGGGAGCACGAGGCTGCGTGGAGGGAGGGAGGGAGGTGAAGGACCAGCAGACAGATGAGAGGCGGCAGCGGTGGCAGCGGCACGGATGAACCCCAGCCCTCTGCCAGGGCTGCTCCGTGCCTCGAGAATCATCCCACAGCAATTTTCTCTTCCAGCCAGACAGGAGATGGGAGCCAGAGATTGGGAGCGACCAAGCAAACAAGCAGCAGATGAGCAGCACTGGCTGCGGGCAAAAAGCTGCTGCCTTGGGAGGAAGGCTGGGCTGGGAGATTGGGAGCGGGAGGAGAGGGCAGAAGATGCTCGGGCTGATTGCACAGCCACTCTGCAAAGTTAATTGTTCACCAGGTTGGGATCTGGGCCACATCCATCAACAGGCTGCTTCCTGCCATCAGCTCTCCTGGACAAACAGCAGGAGCCAGTGGATTTAGAGGAGAGCAAAGCCAGCAGGGCAAAGCTCTGCCTGGACAGGGTTCGCTGCCAGCAAAGGGCCCTTCTCCAGCAGAGCTCTCATCGCCTCCCCGCCCGCACGGCGGCAAACCCAGCCCAGCAGAGCTGAGCTTTTGGGTGTCAGCACACGAATTACACAGCTGAACTCGCTCCAGGCTTGGGATCTCCTCTGAGCTGAGCCAAGCTGCCCTGTCCTGCTGCCTGAAGAAGCTGCCTCAATTTCCCTGAGGATGGAAGGAGAATCTGGGAGGCTCCTACTGAGCCTAAGCCCTTTTGGAAACTCTTACTCTTCTTGGACATGACTCCAAACACACAGATCCCGGCTTTTCTGGAGATTCTCAGCCCTCCTGGCCCAGACCTCAGCTCTGAGGTCATGAGGAATGTCCCAGGGTTTACAGGCATTGACCAAATATTCATTTCTCTCCAGAAGGCCGGACCAAGGGGATGATGGTCTCAGTGGAAACTGCAACGTGGATATTTTAGTGCACGTGGTGAGTGGACACCCAGGGTTCTGCCTGACCAGGTGGTGGGACAGGGAGAACAGAAGGATCCTCATGGATTTGGGAGATCAAAACTCAGCTGAGCTCCCTCAGCCATTTTGCCTCTGTGTTTTGCCCTGTGCAAAATGCAGCTGCTCTCATCTGCCTGCTCTGGGTCCGGTGAGGGAAGGCAAAAAGTGTCCCCTGCAGCACCCTCTGCACCCCAGCCTGTCCCCAGGGGACAAGTGACACTGGCAAGGAATGCACACGAGAGGCAGCAGCTCAAGATTTAAAGCAGCTCATTTGGAAGCCAATGAAAAGCAGCCAGCTGCACTTCAGCCACCTGTAACTACCAATGTGTGACACCATCCCTTCCCTCTGTCACCCTGTCACCAGCACAGCCTCTCTGAAGGGTCCATTCAGGCCTCCACAAAGAGCTGCCTCAGCGAAAGGGGCAGGGAGATGAGGATTTCAGCGCTTCCCATCCCTGCCAGCATCCCAGAGCTCTGCAGAGCTCAGGGAGCAAAGCCCTGAGAGCAAAGCAAGGTCAAGAGTTAACAGATGGGGGAACTCGGCCGTGGGGACACGGCGGTGACGTGGCCAAGGCCAGGCAGAATCCGTGGCAAGGCCGTGGACAGCGGGAGACCTCCAGAGCCCTGATTAGTTGTAATTTTTTTCTCTCTTTCTCTCTATCCCAGCAGGATGAGAGAGGAGGAACTCCCAGGATTGCTGGCAAGGTTGTTCCACTACTCATTTATTAAATGCTCCCACTTGGATGTGGTACTGATATTTTCCAGTGTGAGTGAGTAAGCCTGGGAACTTGGGAACAAATCTGCGAGCCCTGCCTGGAGCATGGACACCAAAACCTGCTCAGAAATCTTCTGGCATGACAGAGAGCCTGAAAATTGGCAAACTCTGAGCTGGGTGCCTCACGCACTGAGGAAGTTCCATGGGTGGGGTGAGCCAGGTGCCCTCCTATTCCTGCTGCTTCCTTCTGGGACTCTTGGACATCCCCTCCCACCTTTTTCCAGGGAGGGAAGGATGCTCCACACCCACACATGCTCTGAGATCTCCGTGCCACCTGCGTGTGCCCGCTGACACGATGTCCATTACCCAGTGGGCAGATTCCTGGAGGGAATCTCTTCAGGATCATGGGAACTGCTTTTCCCGACCTCTCCCCTGCCCCACAGGCGCTGTCACAGCCTCATGAGGCTGGAAAACAGGACTCTGCTTGCATTCACCACATCTCAGCCCTACATCCCAGCTCCACACCCCAAATCTGCCCCACACCACCGAGGAGGGAATTAATTAATCCCAGTTCCTTGCAGGGCCCTGTTTGACGGCTCTTGCCCTTTCACAAATCTCATCCGGAGGCTCCAACTTTCTGCCTGATGTTTGTTCAAAGCTTTTCCCCCTTCAGGCACCTTCTCCGAGCCTGGCACACGTCACATTGCACCGCTGCTTTCCTTGATGCACGGCACAAAACCCAGCGCCAGCAGCCCCAGGCCTGACCCTGATTTGTTCTTCCTCTCAGAGCTGATGCCACCATTGTGCCAACACACAGCCCAGGCTGTTCTCACCGAGAGATGAGGCTGTGAAAGCTTTTCAGGCTGGCCTGGCACAGAGGGCAGCTCTCAGGGGGCTGTGTGGGGACAAAGAGGGGGACACATTCTGGGGCACATCCCCAGGAACTTGTCACAGCAACAGGCAGCGCTGGGGACATGCAGCTGGTTGTGACAGCCGCCAAAAACTGCAGCGCCAGGGGAATGCCGAGCTGCCAGCCCGGGGCAGGGCTCCCTCCCGAGCCAGGGACCCACGGGACAGACCCTGCGTGTCACCCCCGCACACTTCCACTCTGAAAGGCTCCCCCCAGACCCCTGACAGCGGGACACACCCAGAGGTGCCCGTCAAAATCCAATATTGGGGCTGACCTGAGCTCCCTGAAACAGATTTACCACCAAACACGCGCAGGAATTTCCCTCACCAGGGAGCACCGAGGTACAAATCCGTACCGAGCTGAACCCTCCCTCTCCGCACCTCCAACTCTCCCCTCCTCTGGCACTTTGTGTCCCGCCAGTCCCAAAAGCAGCGGCCGTGGCCCCCGGAGGGGCTGGGGGGCAGGCAGGGCTCCCGGAGGGGCTGGGGGAGCGGGCAGGGGCTGGGGGGCAGGCAGGGACCCCGGAGGGGCTGGGGGAGCGGGCAGGGCTCCCGGAGGGGCTGGGGGAGCGGGCAGGGACCCCGGAGGGGCTGGGGGAGCAGGCAGGGACCCCGGAGGGGCTGGGGGGCAGGCAGGGACCCCGGAGGGGCTGGGGGCGGGCAGGGACCCCGGAGGGGCTGGGGGAGCGGGCAGGGACCCCGGCCCGTGGCGGGGTCACCCCGGCACTCACCGGCCGCCGAGCAGGTCGCTCTCCCTCCTGCCGTGTCCCTTCCTCCTTCCTGCGGGGCAGAGCAGGGGCGGTGCTGCGGGAGCCGCGGGGCCGCTCCGGGAACGGGGCCGGGCTGCGAGCGGAGCGGGGCCGGCACCGGAGCGGGACCGGCACCGGAGCGGGACCGGCACCGGAGAGCGGCTGGAGCGGGGCCGGTACCCGAGCGGGGCGGATGCTGGAGCCGGTGCCGGAGCAGAAGAGGGTTGGAGCGGTGCCGGTGCCAGGGCACGGGAGAGCTGGAGAGGTGCCGGGAGCAGGAAAAGGGTTGGAGCGGTCCCGGTGCCGGTGCCGGGGGGAGGGTGAGCGGTGCCGGCGCTGAGCAGGGGGGAGTTGGAGCGGAGCCGGTGCCGGTGCCGGAGCACGGGGAGCCGGAGCGGTGCCGGTGCCGGTACCGGAGCACGGAGAGCCGGAGCGGTGCCGGTGCCGGTACCGGAGCACGGGGAGCCGGAGGGGTGCCGGTACCGGAGCACGGGGAACCAGAGCGGTGCCGGTACCGGAGCACGGGGAGCCGGAGCGGTGCCGGAGCACGGGGAGCCGGAGCGGTGCCGGTACCGGAGCACGGGGAGCCGGAGCGGTGCCGGTGCCGGAGCACGGGGAGCCGGAGGGGTGCCGGTACCGGAGCACGGGGAGCCGGAGCGGTGCGGGTACCGGAGCACGGGGAGCCGGGGCCGGAGCGGGCGCGGTGCGGGACCCGGCGCGGTGCGGGAGCGCTGCCGGCGCTCGGCTCCGTGCGGCGCTGGCTCCTCCCCGCCGCAGCCCCGGGATAAGGAGCCCGCTCGGCCCCGCTGGCCCGGGATAAGGAGCCCGCTCGGCCCCGCTGGCCCGGGATAAGGAGCCCGCTCGGCCCCGCTGGCCCGGGCAGGAGCCGCGCACGGAGGACACGGAAAGGCGCAAACAGCACCCAGCAATCCCGGCCTCGCACTCCAGCCAGGGGAGCTCCCTCCTGCGGCTCCTCCTGCTCCTCTTGAAGCTCTGAGCAGAGCCGGAGCAGCCCGAGCCACCGGGATCCGTGGGGGTTTCAGCCTCTCGGGGTTGTGGATTTAGCAGCGGCTCCCCCACCCATTCCAGCTCCTTGTTGTCTTATATTTAGTCAAACATTCTGGCTTCGCCAAAAATAGAGCAGCCATGGAAATAAATCAGGCGGACTGGAGGTGCCAACATTGTCTGCCTGAAAGTAATTAATTTTTTATATCCTCGCCTATATTAATCGTCGCTTTCCCTCCACACACCGCCCTGTCTGTCAGCAGAGTTGTTGTAATTAGTGCCGAAATCTGGGGGATTTGATGGAGGTTTAAGGTGGTGGGGAAGGGCAGGGGGAAAGCAGGGCAGGGAAGACAGAAAATCCATCTCCACAGAGTGTGGAGAGTGGGAACACGGAGGACACAGCAGGGCTGGCAAGGAGGACGGAAGGGAATGCAAGTTCTGTGGGGGAAAATCCTACATTTAGGATCTTCTTTCCAGACATCGATATTCCATCAAAAAAAAACTGTCCAGGAGACACAAATGTGAGCTTTGCTGCCAGAACTCCTCTTCCCCTCGTTCCTTTTGAATGTGGGAATCTCGCCGGACTTGGTGACTCTCATTTCTCATCTCAGAACCACCAGGCTGGCTGGGAGACACCTCGAGGAGTGCGAAAATGCTTCCCAGATGGCACCGCAGGAGCATCAAATCCAAGCCCCCGTGGAGGGAAGGGATGTTCTAGAAGGATCCATCTCCTCTGGTCGCTTTAGCCTGGCCCAGGCCAACACCCCTGAGGCCCTCAGCAATGTCTGAACACCCAGGAGTGGGGTAAAGCCTTCAGCAGGGAGTGGGGTAAAACCTTCAGCAGGGAGTGGGGTAAAACCTTCAGCAGGGAGTGGGGTAAAACCTTCAGCAGGGAGTGGGGTAAAACCTTCAGCAGGGAGTGGGGTAAACCCTTCAGCGGGGAGTGGGGTAAACCCTTCAGCAGCAGCTTTCGGTGGGAGCAGGAGCTGAACCAGCAGGCTCTGAACCAGGGCTGCCCCTCCAGAAGCAGGTGGGGGGTTCAAAACTGAGGCACGGTGACCTGGTGGGGACGTGGTGGCTTTGCAGCAGGGCTGAGACGCCGTCCTTGGTGACACACGGTGAGCAGCTCGTTTGTCACCTGCGTCTGATGGGGATTGGCACCCCTGGCTCTGCAGGGCTCAGGGAGGAGCAGCAAAGGTGGGGCCAGGGGTGGGGTGGTGGCCATGGTGTCAGGCTGGGTGTGACATCCAGGGCTGGGTGTGACATCCAGAGATGTGTGTGACATTCACAGTTGGGGTGTGACATCCAGAGATGTGTGTGACATTCAGGGCTGGGTGTGACATCCAGAGATGTGTGTGACATTCACAGTTGGGGTGTGACATCCAGAGCTGTGTGTGAAATCTAGGGCTGTGTGTGACATGCAGGGCTGTGTGTGACATGCAGGGCTGTGTGTGACATGCAGGGCTGTGTGTGACATCCAGAGATGTGTGTGAAATGCAGGGCTGTGGTGTGACATTCACAGTTGTGGTGTGACATCCAGAGCTGTGTGTGAAATCCAGGGTTCTGTGTGACACCCAGGGCTGGGTGTGACATTCACAGTTGTAGTGTGACACCCAGGGCTGTGAGCGACATCCAGAGCTGTGTGTGACATTCACAGTTGTGGTGTGACACCCAGGGCTGTGAGTGACATCCAGGGCTGGGTGTGACATGCAGGGCTGTGAGTGACATCCAGGGCTGTGTGTGACATTCACAGTTGTGGTGTGACATGCAGGGCTGTGTGTGACACCCAGGGCTGTGTGTGACACCCAGGGCTGTGTGTGACATCCAGGCTGGCTCCTGTGGACGCCTGTCCTCCCGTCACCCCTGGTCAATGAGTACCCGGTCATGTGGGTGCACAGTCAGCGCCCTGTGAGTGCCCGTCCCGCTCCCTTCCTGCTGCTGCCTGCAGAAATGGCCTCTCTGGGTGGCTTTTCCCCACATCCCAGTCTCTGGCATGGCTCTGACTTCCACATTCACCCGTCTCCTCCGTTTAGAGGGGAGATGTCACCCTGGGGGAGATGTCGGGAGCACTTCTGTGTCATTCCCGGCTCGCTGCAGCTCCAACAGCTGCTGCCACACCTCCCACGCCACAGCTCCATAAATCCAGTTTGAAACTGAAAGGAAACGAGATTCCCAGGAAAAGCTCCAGCAAATCAAGCTGAAGGCCCCAGACTGGATCTTCAGAGAAACCACGGAGAGAAATCAACGTGCAAAGGGCAGGAATGTTAGAGCAATTAGGGAGCCATGAGCTCGGTGCTTGTGTCACCCCAGCTGCTCGGTGGTGCAGAACATTCCTCATCAACACAAATTACAGCCATGGGCATGCCAGGGATTGCTGCGACAGCCTGACAGCCCCGGCTCTGGAGGAGGATGTGAGAGGGAGAGAGCCCAGAGAGGAGAGGAGAGGAGCAGAGGGATGGGGCTGTGATGGTGTCCCAGCATGGGGGGCTGTTAAATCCGGGACCACACTGTGGCAAGCACATTTCTCTCTGTCCCTCTCAGGATTTTTCACAGAGCTGCACAGAGAGAAATGAAAGAGAAAACAATTTCTATTTCTGCTCCTTGTTTTTCCCACGTGGAATGTGTTGGGGGAATTGTTTACCTGGGGTGATGCTTGGTTGGATTCTGGTGAGGATTGTTTGAGCCTGGTGGCCAATCCAACCCAATCCAACCCAATCCAATCCAATCCAATCCAATCCAATCCAATCCAATCCAATCCAATCCAATCCAATCCAATCCAATCCAATCCAATCCAACCCACCTGGGGCTGGACTCTCACGAGAGGGTCATGAGTTGAGTTAGAGTCAGAGAAAGTAGTATGTAATTTTAGTATCCTCCTTTTATATAGTATATTAATGTATTTTAGCATAGTTATAATAAAGAAATAATTCAGCCTGCTGAATTGAGTCAGACATCGTAATTTCTTCCCATTGGGTCCATCTACATTTACAATACCACACTCCCGGTACTAAAAGCGATTTCAGCTTTTGTTATAATAAAAAGAAAGGGGTTTAAAGGGGGAGTTGTCAGAAGCACAGTACTCTACATGCCATAATACACCTAAAGTAAACTGCACCACCTCCAGCGAAAGGAGCCAGCCTGGACAGAACTGTCATGGGCCAATCAAGGCCTTAAACCTTCATGCAAATGAAAGATCCAAAAAGAAACCAATCCAACGGGACAAAAACAGGATAAAAAGGGGGATCTGAGCCATTGAACCCATGCTGTTCCCCCTGGAACGTCGGGGCCATCGCTGCTCAGCAGAGCCAGCGCTGGCACCGCGGCGTCCTCGATGGGATCGCTCCTGCTCATCCCAAACGAGCCCCCTTGCTTTAGGCCTTTCTTTTTATTATAATAAATGCTGAAATCACTTTTAGTACTGGGAGTGTGGTCCTGGTTTTAACAGTGGGGAGGTGAGGAGGGGTGCAGGGGCTGGCAGACTCCTGGGTGCTGATATCCGAAGGGGCTCGGCTGGGTTTAAGGCCAATCAAGCCCTTAAACTTTCATGGAAATGAAGGATCCAGAAAAGAAACCAATCAAAACCCCCAAAAAACAGGATAAACAGGGACCAAAACCAGGATAAACAGGATAGAAAGGGGGATCTGAGCCATTGAACCCGTGCTGCTCCACCTGGCACGTCGGGGCCATCACTGCTCAGCAGAGCCAGCGCCGGCACCGCCACGTCCTCGACGGGATCGCTCCTGCTCATCCCAAACGATCCCCCTTGATTTAGGCCTTTTTTTTATTATAATAAATGCTGGAATCGCTTTAGTACCGGGAGTGTGGTCCTGGTTTTAACAGTGGGGAGGTGAGGAGGGGTGCAGGGGCTGGCAGACTCCTGGGTGCTGATATCTGAAGGGGCTCGGCTGGGTTTAAGGCCAATCAAGCCCTTAAACCTTTGTGGAAATGAAGGATCCAAAAAAGAAACCAATCAAAAACCAAAAAAAACAGGATAAACAGGGACCAAAACCAGGATAAACAGGATAAAAAGGGGGATCTGAGCCATTGAACCCGTGCTGCTCCACCTGGAACGTCGGGGCCATCGCTGCTCAGCAGAGCCAGCGCCGGCACCGCCGCGTCCTCTATGGGATCACTCCTGCTCATCCCAAACGAGCCCCCTTGTTTTAGGCCTTTCTTTTTATTATAATAAATGCTGAAATCACTTTTAGTACCGGGAGTGTGGTCCTGGTTTTAACAGTGGGGAGGTGAGGAGGGGCTGCAGGGCCTGGCAGACTCCTGGGTGCTGATATCCGAAGGGGCTCGGCTGGCTGGGAGCCGTGTCCAGGGATCCACATCACCCTTTGTGACAGCTCCAGGCTCCTCCTGGCTTTGGCTCAGTCCTGGGATTTCTTCCTGGAAGGAGCAATTCTGTTCCCCCACACCCAAAAACGACCCCCAGACACCCACCAGGAGCTGCTCCTTCCCAAATCCAGGGACACTGTGGGCAGTGCTGGGGACAGAGGGACAGAGGGACAGAGGGACAGATGGACAGAGGGACAGAGCCCAGGGCAGCCAGGGGAGCAGGGACAGCCTGGAAAAGCCATCTGGGGGCAGGGACAGCCTGGCACACCCATCTTAGGAGCAAGGACAGCCTGGCAGACCCACCTTAGGAGACGACACAACCTGGCAGACCCATTTTAGGAGCAGAGACAACCTGACAGACCCATTTTAGGAGCAGAGACAACCTGGCAAACCCACCTGGGGAGCAGGACAGCCTGGCAGACCTGACTTATGAGCAGGGATAGCCTGGCAAACCCATTTTAGGAGCAGGGACAACCTGGCAAACCCACCTGGGAGCAGGGACAGCCTGGCAGACTTGACTTAGGAGCAGGGACAGCCTGGAAAACCCATTTTAGGAGCAGAGACAAACTGGCAAACCCACCTTAGAAGCAGGGACAGCCTGGCAAATCCACCAGGGGAGCAGGACAGCCTGGCAGACCCATCTTAGAAGCAGGGACAGCCTGGCAAACCCATCTTAGGAGCAGGGACAACCTGGCAGACCCATTTTAGGAGCAGGGACAACCTGGCAGACCCATCTTAGGAGCAGGGACAGCCTGGCAAAGCCACCTTAGGAGCAGAGCAGCTCAGGCTGAGCAGAGGTGACAGCAGCGTCCAAATGTGTCACAGCAGGAGGGAGCAGCCCTGCCGCAGCCATGCCAAGCATGCTTTGGTGTAAAACCACCGATTTTTGGTGTAAGAACAGCCAGTTGTGGCTGTCAGCTGCTGGCCCCCGTGGAATATGTGTCCCCAGAGTGGGGGACTCATCCCACAGCACATGGGGGAGATCAAACACACCCAGCAGCGACACACCGGGCCCAGTAAGGACCAGTCAGAAAATTCTGACCTCCAAACCGAGCTGTACCCAGCAGGCACCGCTGTGTCCCTGGGGAGAGCTCCAGAGCTTCGATCTGCGGCCCAGGAGAGCCCCAGAAATGGGCAGCAAATGCAGAAAGTCGATGGAACCTGACAGCTCCGACTGAGGCTGTGCAGAAACAGCAACAGGAATGTACCTGACTCCTGCAGGGCTCAGGCGGGGGGGGGTCACATTCACCTGTTTAACTCCTGCAGGGTTCTGGGGGGGTCACATTCACCTGTTTAACTCCTGCAGGTTTCTGGGGGGGGTCACATTCCCCTGTTTAACTCCTGCAGGGCTCTGGGGGGGTCACATTCCCCTGTTTAACTCCTGCAGGGCTCTGGGGGTGTCACATTCCCCTGTTTTACACCTGCAGAGCTCGGGGGGGTCACATTCACCTGTTTAACTCCTGTTGCAGGTTTCTGAGGGGGTCACATTCCCCTGTTTAACTCCTGCAGGGCTCTGGGGGGGTCACATTCACCTCTTTTCCTCCTGCAGGGCTCTGGGGGTGTCACATTCACCTGTTTTACACCTGCAGGGCTCAGGGGGGGTTCACATTCCCCTGTTTAACTCCTGCATGGCTCGGGGAGGGGTCACATTCCCCTGTTTTACACCTGCATGGCTCGGGGGCGTCACATTCTCCCGTTTTCCTGTTGCAGGTTTCTGGGGGGGGGTCACATTCTCCCATTTTCCTGCTTCAGGTTTCTGGGGGGGTCACATTCCCCTGTTTTCCTGGCTGAGGATGCAGAGCCCTCGGCAGCCCCATTTCCCCCGGCGCTGGGCTCACATGGCCTGGCATGTGTGCAGCTCCCGAGGAGAGCTCCGGGGCTCTGCAGGGAACATTTCACATTGGCTGCATCCCTTCCCCACTGCCCTGCCACTCGATAGGAGCGTGGGCAGCGAGTCATGGAAAGAGAAATGTGCTCAATGCCTCCTCCTCCTCCTCCTCCTCCTCCTCCTCCTCCTGCTGCTGCCCTGGCCTGGCTGCTCCCGCCAGAAGCACAGGCAGGCATGTGGAAATCATTGCCTGGAGAGCAGCGCTGCGCTTTGTGGGACTCAGATTCAGTCAAAGAAAGAAACTCAGAGTTTCTAGCCAGGCAGATGCCTGGGAAAGAGCTGGAGAAAATGTAAATAATTCTTTATCTCTCTTGTGTTTCACATTGTTTATAGTTAAGTTCTATCACTGTGCGTCAAGCACTCTGCACCAATGGTGTGGATTGTTTTCACTTCAGAACCGATGGATTTGGCCTTTGTGAAGCTCTGTATAAAAGAGCGGGGTATTTTGAATAAATCAGAGTTTTACTCTCAGCAGCCTTCTGAGTCAGTCTTCTCATTCCCGTCCTGCCTCGACAGCGACAGCGCTTCAGCAGCAGCCCCAGGGCTGGGGACAAGCTGGCTGCTAAACCCAGGAGAACTGGGAAATGGGGCCATGCTCCAGTGCCCAGCCTCACTGGAGAGGGCAAATGAGCCCCGTGGCACGGCCCAGCCCGGGGTGTGGCTGTCCAGGTGCTCAGGGACACCCTCATTTAACAACAACCCCCCCAGCCGCACCTCTGGTGGGCTCACGGACTTGGGGAATGTGGATCATAAATTGGTTTGAGTTGGAAAGGACCTTAAAGGTCATCTTGTCTAAAATTCTGCCTCCCACTTGCTCCCAGGTTGTTCCAAGCCTTGTCCAGCCTGGCCTCGGACACTTCCAGGGATGGGGCAGCCCCTGCCAGGATTTCCCCACCCTCCCAGGGAAGGATTTTTCCCATCTATCCAACCTAAACTTCCCCTCTTTCAGTCTGAACCCATTCCCCCTTGTGCTGTCACTCCCAGAAGGGGCAGGACAGAAGGAATATTGTTATTATTGTTATAAAAGCAGGTGAATTGAGGAACAGGAGAAGTGGGGATGTTTGTATATCCCTGTGTCTGACCCAGAGCTGAGGGAGCTCCTCAGGGGCTCCCTGCTG